ACCTGGATTGCCAGATGCTAACCAAGTTACCAAGCAACTTGCATGCATCGCCCGGTGCTAACGATAAAACCGCTTCTCTTAACTAATCAAGTACAGAAGAAAGTAAAGGAATGGACATTTTGGGTAATGTAATAACGATGGGTGAAATCGAGGGTCGTCGTGAACCTTTTTCTGTGACATATTAGCTTCAAGATCGATGCCTTTGAATATTGCAGACTTAAGGATGGAGTCAGATGTATGATCGTCTGTACTGTCAAGTATGCCCAACGATCGGAGTTTGTCCTCCAGGCAAACTGCTGCAGAGTCCTCCACTCCGACAACATCTGGGGCAAGGAGAATTGACAACCAGACTGAATGAAATTGCTTTCAAAAACTAAACAGCAGTATGCATGTCACTATCAGATGTTCATGAAATTAGACCATGTTTGATTTGAATTAAAATGAAAATCCAAACTCAACCGCCGATTGATGCTTTGTTCGAAAAATCCCAAAATCTAGATTTGATTGTCGTGTCGTAAGAAAAAAAAGGATCACAGAAAACATAAGTAAGATCCTTTGCTAAAGAAAATGTGAGGGCATTGTGAGATCTCACATCGGTTGGAGAGGAGACGAAACATTTTTTATAAGGGTGTGAAAACCCCTCTCCCTAGCAGATGCGTTTTAAAAACCTTGAAGGGAAGCCCAAAGAAGACAATATCTGATAGAGGTGGGCTTGGACTGTTACAAATGGTATCAGAGCCAGACATCGGGTGGTGTTACAGTGATGACGTTGAGCCCCGAAGCGGGGTGCCCACCAGGCAGTATGCTAGCAAGGACGTTGGGCCTCGATGGACGGTAGATTGTGAGACCCCACATCGATGGGAGAGAAAAATGAATCATTATTTATAAGGGTGTGGAAACCTCTCCCTAGTAGACGCGTTTTAAAAATGTTGAGGAGAAGCCTGAAAGAGAAAGCCTAAAGAGGACAATATCTCCTAACGGTGGGTTCAAGCTATTACAAAATCTTATAGGAAGTTGGGTGAGAGAAAATTAGAACAATAGTTAGGATGATTATCATAAGATCTAATTTCTTTCAAAAGTATTTTTTTCTTGTAGCTGCCTTATTGAGCTCTAACTCAACATTTTTATGGGTAAGAAGCCGAGCCTTCATCGAAAAAAAATGAAGAAAAGAAGCTCGACGTTGAGGCGCCTTTTCATAAGCCCTTTGGTGTTCGTTTCTTCGGTAAATTTCATCTATCAATTGTTTATATATAGACTCCGTCGAATAAAATAGCTAAAACTGTCAATTGTACCTTTTACTTGGCTCCCACTGTCGACCAATTCGGTCATAACATCATCGCGGTCAACATGTAAATCGTGATATAAGGTACGTTTCTCTTGAGAATCGAAAACCTTCGGAATTGGACGCAAGGCATCTTCAGCATTAGCTCGATCTAATGCAACGACTGCACCGATATAAGAGAAGTGATTAACCAGACAAAAAGAATTAGAAGTATAGAAAAGAATCCATCTTCAAACTAGTAGGATCTCACCTCCTCCCTGTACATCTAAAACCTTCTTAGATTTTCCGACCGAATGACTCGGCAGAAGAATTCCATCATTGGAGCTGTTTAAAGTTATGTCAGTACCGGAGTGCACCATGACGTTTTGAAATGAAGGTTTCACCAGCAATCCATGAGCAAGGAAAACCTGGCCCGACCCAGATTTCGGAATTCCTTGAAATTGTGCAGCATAAATAGAAGGTGTTACCCGTTTTTTACTCTTGGAGGAAATATCATTGTTAGATATCAATACTTTAGTAGGCTTGACACTTCGTAACTCTTCGAGATTCTGTCCATACCATAAATAACAAACACCAATTTCTGATATAGCCAAAACGTACAGCGCAGCTTCATCAACTCCACCACCACCCGAGCGCCTGCTGTCCACGAAAATGGCAGGGTGCTCCATTGCGAGAACACAACTAGCTGATTGCTTTTTCTCTCCGCCTAAACTCCAAACAACGATATACCTTTCACCAACCCCGGATGAAAGAATGTATTTTCCATCTTCGGTAAAAACCATACATCGAACAGCTCCCTATGCGTCGGAACGAGAAACTATTATTCTACTAGAACTTGGAAGTCAACACAAAAAATGAAAACCGATCAGGACAAGTGAAGAATATAATACTCACAGGATGCCCGGAAAACTTCTGTATCTTTTTGTGATCAGAACAATTGAAAATCTTCATTTGCGAGGCTGCAGTTGCTATTTTCTTTCCATCTGTTGCAAGCCGAAAACCAACCCAGACACGTTCTAAGTCAAATATTATCGAAGACTAAAATACCAGCCCAACAAACGGAAATGCCCCCAACCCGAAAAACTATACAAAAAAGGTGCCCAGTCTAAAAGGACACAACCAAGAGAATAATTTCAAGGCTTCTAAAAGGTAAATGTGCATGTGACTACCTGGAGAAACAGAAATACAGGATATTGCCTTTGTCGAAGCCTTGAACTTCCTCAACAGGCTTCCCGTCACAGAATCAATTTCGCATAGCATTCCATCAGCACCAGCAGTATAAATGCACGAACCGTGTGTAGGAAACGAAATTGTAGCAACACCACTGGCACAAGAGAAAACTGAATGTAATGTAACTCTAACGGTTTTTCGCTTTCCTTTTTTTGAAGGTAGAGAGGACTTGGATGTCGGGATCGTTCATCCATCTAAATTCTTAAGAGAGAAAAATGCAACTTCCTAAAGATTACCGTCGTTTAAGAGAAATGACGAGACTAAACGAGCAATACCGTAAAAGAGATTTTGATCTTACCCAGGATGACAATCACTTATTTTCCACTTCAATTCCCCAGCTGCTACATCAAGAGCCATAACATCACCACTACCAGTTCCTAACAACAACAACGAACATTGGCGCTTTCTTTTTCTCTGCATCGAAACAAAAAACATACATTCAACACTGACATACTAAAATGATCTTCGAGTACTCGTGACTAAGAGATTGAATCTTCGAGTACTCATAACAGAAATTAGTTTATCCAATCCATAATGTAAAACCTTTTTCTCCAATGACAACCATTTCATGCATTTATAATCAACAGATAGATGCCCTTTTCCTGATTTCGTTAGTATGCTCGTTGAATCGGTTGTAAAGAAATCTGCAAACTCCGTCTGTATCTGACCTTTCAACGTGTCCCAGATCTTAACATAAAGAGGAAGAAAAATAATCATATTATGGAAGAAAATTGATAGGTTTAATCTTATTAACAACCGGCTTAGCTAAAAGTTCTCAAAACAAACAAGCAATTCTGATTCAATATACAACATTTAACAGCCCCATGTCATGTTCTCAGCATCCGCATTGGCATACAGTGGAGAAACAAATACCTTGATACGACCATCTCCCGAGCTGATGGCAAACAAATGCAAATCAGGACTAAAAGATGTTAACAGATCTCTGATATTCGACGACGCCATGAATCTGAAATGTAAACATTATAATAATTAATAATAATAACTCGTTAGAAAAATAGAATAATCATTAATCATATGCACTGAGAGTTAAGATGCTCGATTTTCTTTGAGAGGTATAACAACATAACGATTAGCTTATTAGCAAATAATATGCTTCCTGAATAAAGTAAACTGAAACGGCTATGAGTGCGAGCAGTAATTAACCAGAATCGACGGTTCAATGCAGAAGAAAAACAGAACCTTCTGGTCGAGTAGATTTAAGGATACTTTTGAAGTTTGTGAGAGGATCAGTGGCTAAAGGAAGCACAGAAACAGAGCTTCAACGATCAAAAGCAGGCTTAGCGGCTGAGAAAGCGCTGGCCCTAGAGTCTTAGCTCCTCGCCGTTTGGCGCTATACAGTTCCTTTTTGATAGACAACGATCAACTGACAGAAATATGCAAACCGGTGGGATGGAGGCGGCGGCGGTGGCGACACTGGACTGCTGGAAGGGAGGAGGATACGGCGGGAAGAAGAAGAAGTGGAGCGCGTGAGAATGAGGGGAAGACGGAAGAGGTTTAGGGTTTTTGTTTCCTTTTTTATTTATTTATTTATTTATTTATTATTTTACATAGTAGGCTGTCGAGTATGGTAGTGATCAACAAACATGTTTCTGTGTAATTGAATTTTGTTTTAATTTAAATTGTGAAATTAATAAAATGTAATCATGTAGTTCCAAATTATCATATAATTTCATTTTATAAGAGCAAAAATCCTTAATGTTAAATTTTGGATTTAAATTTTACAACAAAACTAATTTACAATACACTTTCAATTATACTCTGACCCTTCAAAAAAAAAAAATTAAGATATAGTTTGGTCATCTTTAAAATAATTAATTAATTAAAATATACATTATTGTCTCCCGCTTTTTCGATCTCGTAAGTCGTTTAACTAAAAAGCTAATGTTTTATTAATGTTTTTACTTTATGTGAGATCCCACGTCAGTTGGGGAAGAGACAACCTTGGTATGGAAACCTCTTCTTAAGAGACATGTTTTAAAAATCTCGAGGGAAATTCCGGAAGGGAAAACTTAAAGTGACAACATGTTAGCGATGGGCTTTAGCTGTTACAGATGGTAATAGAGCCAGACACCAAGCTATGTATTAGTGAAGAGGATGAGTCTCAAAGGGGAGTGGACATGATGCAGTGTGTCAACAAGGACGTTGGGACTCGAATGGAGGTGGATTGTGGTATCACATCGATTGGAGAAGAGAATGAGTGCTAGTGACGATGTTGGGTGTGAAAACCTCTTTCTAGGATACATGTTTTAAAATCGTTAAGGAAAGGCCTAAAAGAAAAAACCGAGAAAACAATGTCTGCTAGCGTGGATGGTTACCCTTTGCCTATTTTATTTTCTCTTTTTTCATTTGGCATATTTTCAAGTTGAAGGTGTTTTTTTTTTCTTTTTTTTTCAATAATTTAGCATAAAAATTAAAATAAAAACAAATAAAAGAAAGAACCCTAAACCCTTTATATTACTCTCGCGCTCACGTGCTGTACCTTCTACTTCTTCTTCACGCCGACTCCTCTGTTTCAGCTGCGCAGTTTCTCCCCGCCTCTCTCTCCCGTTCTGTGCTGCCACCACCGTCGCGGACACGCCGCTGCAGCCCCTAGCAAGTTTGCGCCGACTTCTCACTCTCTCGTTGTTACTGGTATTCTTCCAATCTCCGTCTATGCCTTTATTCTCACTTGAAAAACACAAACTAATGAAAGAATGGAGAGTATTGATTTTCCCTTTTTCATAACAATAGACGAATAACAAAACAGATGAAAACATGAAGCCTTGCGGCAAATTGAGACTCTTCGAACTGCCTTTTGATCTGTTGCATATTTCATTCGAAGTTTTTAATAATATTATCCAATTCTCTCTTAATGCGTAGCTTGTAGGAGTTATTTTGGTCGACCGAACGGCCTCAACTTATTTATATTTGTGAAGTAGCTTCAGCCCCTACAATGGTGGCGAAGAGCCAGGAAAACCGTCAACCCAAAAACAGGAGGCAAATTTCAGGCAACAAGAGTTCCTCGCATGGTTCCGCTTCGAAGAAACCGAAGTTCGTAAATGACAAGCCCTCGAAGTCCCATGGCCTGGGAACTGTTGGTAAACCCTTCAAATCGAAGGTTGAAAAATCAGAAGCTAAAAAGGAGCCAATTACGAAGCGAGAACATCGCCTCCAAGCTAAGGTCTGTCAGTTTGGTTCAATCATCTGTTTATTTCCTTAGATTTCTCTTGCATTCTAATGGTTCCGTCTCTCGAGGAGATTTCTTGAATATTGTTTTGTTATCTCATCAGGAACTTGCAGAGGCTAGGAAGAAGAAAAGGAAACGACATTATGATTTGGAACATGTAAGTTTCTCAACTTTGAATAGTTATTTTCTGCCCCATTGGCTCATCGAGTGTTGAGTTGGCCCTGAGGATAATATGAGAGGGTCCTGATTAGAGTATGGCATTTCACTGCTGAAATCCGGTTAAGCTACATGTGGAATAGTTATTAACTAAGTTGAAGCCAACATTTAGTGTCAAAGAAAACAAAAATTAAACTGACTGAACCCGGGTAGGGGGGGGAATTGAAGCGAGGGACTGAAGGAAGGTTGAGAGGAGTGGGCAGCCTAAACCGACATCGGCTACTGACACGCTTATTTTTCAGTGATTGTTTTAACATTAAGTTACACTACTTTATTGTGAGATCCTACATCGGTTGGGGAGGAGAACGAAACATTTTTTTTATAAGAGTGTGGAAACCTCTCCCTTGCACACGCGTTTTAAAAACCTTGAGGGGAAGCCCGAAAGGGAAAGCTTAAATAGGACAATATCTGATAGCGGTGGGTTTGGATTGTTACACTTGTGTTCAATACGACCATTTTTATTTCATTGGAAAAATAGTGACTCAACTGCAGACTTTCAGAAGCTAATGATAGTTAGATTAAAGTTCTTTATATCCTTCCCACCCCTAACTATTCATGGCGTGCAGGAGCTCGCACATCTATGGGAGAAAATGAGGGTTCGAAATATCACCAAAGAAGATAGATCCAAGTATGAGTATCAGAACTGAATTTAATTTTCCCTGCCATCTCCCATATCATTGACCTTACTTCTCTTATAATGACAATTTTCAGATGGGTAAGTAAAGCATTAGAAAACATGAAGGGGAAGATCCCTGAAATTGCAGGTTCCCATGTGTCGTCTCGTGTGCTTCAGGTGAATTTTCCATGCAAAAGCTCTTTGATCTTCACAGATGTATATTTTCCTGTTTACTTTTAATTCTCTTTGATCTTCTGCTATAGACTTGTGTTAAACACTGCACAGATGCCGAGAGAGAGGCAGTGTTTGAGGAACTTAAGCCTCATTTTCTCACTCTTGCTTGCAACACTTACGCAGTTCATCTAGTGAAGAAAATGTTAGATAATGGTATGTTCTTATCTTACCACTTAAGCCTTCCTTGTTGATTTCTTCCAAACAAGGCGCTGATTTTTGCATGTCATGTTTGTAGCCTCGAAAAAGCAGCTGGCTGGGTTTATCTCCTCTCTACATGGCCATGTAGCTTCTCTTCTTCGTCACATGGTTGGATCTTTAGGTATTTTAAGGTTCCTGGGTGCTGGCTCATCCAAGATCTTCAACTTTTAAGAATTACTGCATGATTTATCATGTAAATATATTTACTTTTACATTTGTCAAATCTTGTATCTTACTCGTTCTTTTTGGTTTGTATGTTCAACCAAGTCTCATTAAGTACTTCCGTATTGCTTCTGTCGTTTTTCTACTCTTTATGAACTAGCAAACACATTTGTTTAGTTTAGTTAGTGGTGATACATATTGTGAGATCTCCCATCGGTTGGAGAGAAGAACGAAACATTCGTTATAAGGGTGTGGAAACCTCTACCTAGCAGAGCGTTTTAAAAACCTTGAAGGGAAGCCCATAAGGCAAAGCCCAAAGAGGACAATATTTGCTAGCGGTGGGCTTGGGCCATTACAAATGGTATTAAGACTAGACATTGGACGATGTACCAACGAGGAGGTTGAGCCCCGAAGAGGAGTGGACATGAGGTGATATGCCTGCGAGGACGCTGGGCCCCGAAAGGGGGTGGATTGTTAGATCCCACATCGGTTTGGAAGGAGCATTCTTTATAAGGGTGTGGAAACCTCTCCCTAGCATACGTGTTTTACAACTTTGAGGGGAAGCCCAAAGAGGACAATATCTGCTAGCAGTGGGCTTGGACCGTTACACATGTAATTAGGTTTTGATCTCTGTAGTCTTTATTGTTTTTGTTTGTGAAAAGATTTATATATGAATGATGCAACTCAACAACTCAAGCATGAATTTGAACATTACCAATGTCATTATTAATGTTTTACTTGCATTTTGGCAGTTGTTGAACATGCATACCATTTAGCGAATGCAGCTCAGAAACAAACACTTCTATTGGAACTTTATTCGGTGGAACTCCAGCTATTTAAGGATCTCGTCTCGATGAAAGAAAGCAGGTTAAGAAATTGGCAAGTCTGATTATTTTGTATCTTTCTTCGGCAGACCCTCTCATCAGAATTATGTTATTTGCAGGCTAGTGGATGTAATTTCAAAATTGGACATTAAAAAAGCTTCGGTCTCGCGACACATGACATCAGTAATTCAACCTATTTTGGAAAAGGGGATAGTTGACCACTCTATTATACATAGGGTTCTGATGGAATACTTTACCATTGCTGATAAGGTGTTGTGAAATTTTTCATTTTTTTTACTACTAATATGATATTCATTGAGTTATAATTTCTTTCTAAAGGACTCTTTTTCTTCTTAATCAATTTGTTGGAAGACATCTGCCGCAGATGTAATCCAACATTTGTCCAGTTCACTTCTTGTTCGAATGATTCACACTAAAGATGGATCAAGGATCGGTGTACTTTGCATAAAACATGGGAGTGCAAAGGTTTGTTTATCAATCCGTTTTTGTATCTTAAAATCAAAAGAAACAAATAAAATAATTTGTTGTCTTTGGTTAATTATCTCAGGAAAGAAAGAAAATCGTCAAGGGAATGAAAGGCCATGTGAAGAAGATAGCACACGAACAATATGCGGTTATGGTAAGCATTACCTTTTAAACTGTGCCTACTAAATCCTTCTATATCTGAAATTAGGAAACATTATCTGTTCTCTGGACTTGCTGAAATCACTTAGTATTTTGTTATTGCTGAAGTAGTGTATATATATGTGTGTGTTATTTTTATTTTATTTATTTTATCTGACTGTGAATCCACCAATATCATATTATGGGGTACCTCTTGCGTCTTTCAGGTTCTTGTGTCCATTATCTCGGTTGTCGATGATACAAAGCTGATTAGGAAGGTTAGTTCTTAACCATCTATTGCAGACTGTTGTTCAACATGTTTATTGTGTTCTCCGATACATATTGAAAGTTGGATTTTCACGTGTTTCAGATTATTATTAACGAGCTCGAGAAAGATTTGAAGGAGCTTATTTTGGATAAGGTCTCTATTATTCTTTACATATCGAAGTTACGATTACTCCATAATATAGTCCTTTTCTCCCTGCTAACTTTATATTTCTTTGAATCTTCATTTGTTCAATTACAATTTTAGAATGGAAGACGTGTAGTACTGCAACTACTGCGTCCCAATTGTTCGCGCTACTTCAGTCCCGATGATCTTGCTTCTTTAAATTTATCAATACCTTCTCTTTGCAACAAGGTATTTTGACTTTTATCAATGATTTCATTTTGTATAACTAATTCTTACTTTTGAAGCAAACTGCCAACATTATATTTTATAACTAGACTATGCCTTCTTCGCAGTCCGAGTCAGGAGTCGATAGAGCAGAAGAGAAGGCTGATAGTGACATGGGCGAAACGGAAGGTGAGGAGGTTGATGGAGGTGAGGTTTCTGCCGAGGGCTCTGAAGCTGTAGAGGGTGGTAAAAAAGATCCTCTTATCCGAAGACATGAGTTGTTGGTGGATAGCGGGCTTGCCGAGGTTCGTTATTTGAACAATGTGCGATATTGCCATATTTCTCTTTATATATGAAGCATGATTATGACTTGGAGAGCTTTACATCTTTCAGAAGCTTGTTGATGTATGCGTCAACAATGCTGGGGAAATACTAAGGTCAAATTTCGGCCGAGAAGTAATGTACGAGGTATATATTATACTAAACTCGAACTCGATAACTCATCTAGTTTTCTTCTTCCATCAGTCTAATTAGTTGCATCAATTTTTGCATTCAGGTTACGACGGGGGGTGCCGATGACGTTCTTCAATCGAAATTGGGAGAAAAGCTGAGTGGTTTGTATGAAGCTATAGCTTCACTTGCAGCAGAGCCTAAATCTGAAGACGCAGCCGCAGGCGATGAGCATGTCCTTGAAAATTTCCACTCTAGTAGGACAATAAGAAAGCTTATCTTGGACTGCCCTGCCTTTGCCCTCACTTTGTGGACCACAGCACTTGAAGGGAAATCCAAATTGTGGGCTCAAGGTCACAGGTTCGTCTTAGATTTTTCGATTCGTAACCCCGTGGATCAAATTGAAGTGTTCGTGCTTCTTAGATTCACAAGCGTATGATATTTCTAACCGTCCCGAACCACGAGATACACATTCTTATGAGGTTGTAATTTGTTCTTTTATTTTTTCGAATCACAGTTGTAAGATTGTCCAAGCTTTCCTGGAATCCACGGACTCAAAGGTACGTGAAATTTCAAGAGTAGAGTTACAGTCCTTGATTGACGAAGGGTTACTCAAAATCCCAGACACCAAGCAGTCTGCCGACAAAAGCTGAATACCCAATTTTGTGGATGAAAGGAAACTGCGCATCCTTGAGGTACTGTACTCTTAAACTACGGCATATCTGTTGACTTGCTTCTTTTTTCATTTTTTTCTTCTCTTTTCTGTCTGGTCGTCGGGTCTAAGTTTTGAGGTATAGAAATTTACCATGCAAGTAGACCCTGTTCTCTTAAAAACGATTATATATTTAAAGTTATTAGCCTGATTAAACGTTTTGCCTTATGGCTTCAAGTTCCATTCATTTTGTGCTCTTTGGTTAACTGGTGGTCAAATTCGATGCCCAGGATGTCGGTTCGAGATAAGGTTAAATTGATGTTAAAATTGTTTTTTCGATGATTGGATTGAACCAAATCGGACGAACGACCAAACAAGTCAACTACCAAACATGGTAAAATAAACCTAGTTTGTTCGAAGTAAACTGTTTTTGGTTACTCTATAAATACTGATCGTTCAAATGGATGGAATCGATTAGGTTGAACCCTTTCGATTGCTTCATCAATTAGTCCGTTGTAGTTGATCAAATTCTTGCCAAGTATAAAGGGTTGATCAAATTAAGTTTCGTAGTTTTGGGGTGGTTTACGTAATTTCTAAAAATTATTATTATTATTTTAACAAATTTTAAAAATTGGGGGAAAAAAATGAATTTAATTAAAATGGTATTTTAACATAAAGCTCGAGTCAATATTTGTGGGACAGGCCGCAGGCTAAAATGTTGACCGGATAAAATAGTTACGACCCCTGCAGGTGTGAAGGGCCATGGCCACAGGCTCCTAAATAACCAATGTTACAAATACGAATGACCGACCACCGACAAACCGATGTTTATAACAGTTTTTACATCAAACGACCACACCGACAAAAATGCACATAGAATTCCCGGCGTATCCGGTTGGCGGTCGTAAGATAAGAACCTTCGACCTTTTTTTTTATAAAAATAATAATAATAATAAATAAATAAATAAAATAAAAAACCAGAAGCATCTTAAAATAATTTTTAGAACTTATGAATGTGACCTTTAAACATACAAACTATAGTTTTCGAACCTGTCCCCTCCTTTCTTTTCGGTAGGTATCTATGGCTGACGTTTCATGATTATCCTTATAATTATTGATTGGAACATGTATATTTTTTAATATTTTTCTATCTGCCCCTTTGTTTAGGATTTTATGGTAGTATGCTATTATGTATTATTATTATTATTATTTAATGTAACCTCGGTGGGAAATAGATTTAACACGAAGGTTTGTGTTTATTTAGTCTTTAAACGCGTGAAATTATAAATTTAATGGCCTACCTTCTTTATTTTTTATTTTTAGATTTACATATCTAATGAACAACCGCAAAATTGGAAAATTGGAAATTTCGAGATTTTTTAGACTTTTTTTTATAAGGAGACCATAAGTACAAACTTCTTGTAATTGATCCAGTAGTTTATGAGGTGATAATTTTATTGGAGTATTGGGACTCGAGATGACTGCTCTCAGTGCAATTATGTCATCATGTTTGACATATGATGGCTTGAATCATGAGCTCGGTAAAGATTTACCTTTTTGTAGTAACAATGATATGGTTTGGATGTCAACGCTAACAAATTTTCACAAATTTTTTTAAATAATATATATTTTTTCTAATATAAAATTTAAAAAGAGATTCTTTTTGCTCCAAACTTTTAATTGAATGGAAGTAAACTAGACGTTAATGTAAATAATAACCGTTTGAATAATTTGTTAAATTAACTTTATTTATGAAATTTTAGAAAGATACCAGAAGAATCTATCTACCTCTCAGCCGAAATTAATAATTCTATTAAAATTTTAGAACCAATTTTGAAATAATTTGAATATAATGAATGCGCATAAATATACTTTTTTCAACAATAAATTGAACATTTATGGTGAAAATCGATTTTCCTCCCTAATTTAAAAATAATTTCCACCCTTGATTAATTAGTATAGTAGATAAACAACCGCCAGGATTTTCGAAGTGGTCCCACGCGTGTTGTTCGGGGTTCGCTGAATGTGGGCCCACGTCCACGACCTCCGATCCAATTATAGACAGCTATTGCGATTTGTCATTAATCATTATCTTCTTCTCCCCCACCTTCATCCATCTATTTTTCAAGTGCCCACTCCACTATACCATTAATCTATTTCCTTAATTTTTCATTTTTTTTTAATATTTATAAAACATTTAATGCCTTACAAAAAGTTAAAAACTTTATTTGTTTTATGCTTTATTTACTTATAAAACATACTCCTCACAACTTATTAACCAGTTTCACCTCATACCTTAATTAATTACTAATTAAGGAAAAAACGAGAATAACTGATACATCCCTTGGTATAAATATATTAACGCTAATAGATGTTAATACCAACATGAACATAGCTCAATAATAATTGATACATATTTATTTTTTTGGGCTGAAAATTAAGTTCCTCAATGTTAATATATTAAATAGTAGGATACCTTATCGTCCATACTAATAGAGACTAATACGAGCACGAGTACAACTCAATAATAATTGATACATGCTTAATTTTTTATATTGGAAATTAAATTTCTCGATGCTAATTGTTGGATGATGAAAATCTCACATCGACTATTTTAGGGAATGATCATGGGTTTATAAACAAAGAATACTCTCTTAATTGGTACGAAGCATTTTGGGGAAACTCAAAGTAAAGCCATGAGTGCTTATGCTCAAAGTGGACAATAACATACCATTGTGGGAGACTAGTGTTTATCTAACATGGTATCAGAGTCATGCCCTAAACTTAATTGTGCCTTAAATGCTAATTTAGGGAATGATAATGAATTTATAAATAAACAATACTCTTTACATTCCTTTTCAGTCTCAATCTTTATTAAAAAAAGAAAAAAAATTTGTGTGTTCCACGTCAAATTAACCTTTTCGAATATGATAAAATTTGGGCTTAAACCTAATTGATAGCATTCCGCGAGTTGGGATTCGTTACCATTCTTACAATGACGAAACTACCCTTCATATCCGCCCAGTCGTTTAAGTAAAGATTTATTTCTGGTTTGCCTCCAAACAAACGCAATTCTCTCTCTAGATTTTAGGAATCGTATTCGCCTTCCTGAATTTCTTCATTTCTTCTCCGATCCTCTACTTCTCTAATTTTTGGAGCCCTAGTTTCGTTTCGCATTCTATTCTACCAGTTTTGCGGTTGTTTCAAGTGTTGAATTTGCCATAAATCATCGCACTTCGAGTTTGATGGTTTTTTTTCCTGAGGCTTCGATCTCCACAATTCGATACCATGGCGGCCGGTGCAATGGCAACCTACGCGGCAGCCGCCTTGATAATTTATTACGTCCTGAGCAGGAGATTAGCAGCAAAAGGTGATGAAGATGATCGGAATGGTAATTTGTCCAAATCGATTAGATCGGGAAGGAGAAGGATCTCTCGGAGGCCGGCTCAGGCGCCGGCAACGTGGTTTGAGACAATAACTACTCTATCGGAGACTCTTAGGTATACGTACTCAGAAACCTTAGGGAAATGGCCGATCGGTGACTTGGCATTTGGCATTAATTACTTGATGCGGAGACAGGTGCGCTCTTTTTTCCTTGAGATTCTTTTGTTCGTTCGATTTATCGGACACTATTTGCGATCTTTCATTGTTCGACGTGCATTTGCTCGTGCTTGTTTTTGCTTTTGTTTTTTGCCTCCGATAATTGTTTGAGAGTCTCATTTCTTGAATGCACACATACGACGTTGTTGTTGTTGTTTATATATATATATATATATACTTATTATTTTAGATTCTTGATATGGCATAATTTGTTGTTACTGATTAACTTTTTTTAAATGTTTTTAAATCACGAATGCTTGGTGCTTTCCTTGTGCTAGAACTCGTTAGTGAATTTATTCCTGATGTTATGTATGTTCTGTTATCTGAATTTAGCGATGTTACTCTCACACGAGTCTCGATCTCTCACTGTTCGACTTGCATTCGCTTGTGGTTTTCCTCATTCCTGTTCATATCAAGAGTATGAGCCACACAAAATTCCAGTTGTCGGTTTAGAGTCTTCATTTTCTGAATGCGGACAGAGGAAATTGTTTTTTATTCTAAAAAGCTTGACATGTCTCATTTTATCCTTACCGTGTTACTTTTTTCTGTATATTTTTATATACGTTTGTCTGCTTGTGATTGTTGTTTTCCTTGTACTGAACTCGAAAGTGAATTCAGTTTTGAGGTTGTGTATTTTACATAATATCGACTTAAGCAATGTTACTCGGCTACGACTCACGATCATCCACTGTTTGCATGCATTCGCTTGGTTGTTCATTTGTTCCCTGTTCCTGTTCGTATCTAGAATGCGTACCACACAGGATCCCTGTGGTCGTTTAAGAGCCTCTATTTCTTGAATGTGGATGGAGGACGTTGTTTTTTATTTGAAAGTCTTCATACTTCTGTAATTTCTTATTACTGTTTTAGATTTTTCAGTGGTTTTTTTCAGTCCTCTGGATGATTGTCGGTTTCCTTGTAGCGGAACTTGAAAGTGAATTCAGTTCTGAGGTCATGTAGTTTTGTAAATTGGACATAGCGGTGTTACTCTTCTTGCAGGGAAATTTACAAGTTGCTAACGTGTATGCGAGCGACGACAGTGTACAACTTAAAGGTCCTGAAATTATCGCAGATTTGAAGAGCTTTTTGCGGTTGCTCACCTTCTGCATGTTTTTCTCTAAGAAACCGTTTCCAATATTTTTGGAATCTGCCGGCTATTCTCAGGAGGATGTGCTTATTCAGAAACCAAAAGCTGGGGTATTAATCTTCTAGAATCTCATTTGTTTAGATTTTCACCTTGCTTTGAATTCATTTTAAGCGTGCTGATTGTGGAATTTGTGTTTCATGAAAGCTCGACTGTAGTCCTTCGTTATCCTCGTTAATAGGACTGCCTAATCGCCGATTTTTATCGCTACTTAGCAATTTTAAACCTCGACTGCTTTCTCTACATCGATTCAATAGCGTTATTAATATTCTTGTAGGAAAATTGCATTATCAGCATCATAACACAATCTGTCAGAATGCTAAATGGCCTAAGTGGTGAAGACTTGCTACCTCTAAGAATAATCTAAACACTCGATGTCTCCTATATTTGATGTTTTCCTATGCTCACAATATCTAAATATCTTCTTTTTTTTTATCATTCGAGTTTTAGTATTTTTTTGAAGTTGTACCCTTGATTGTTTCGGTGGTTAGAATTC